AGTCAGAAATTGGTAGTGGGATCGGAACATAAGTCATAAGGGTGATAATTTGGTTGTTACCACTGGGTCACTACTACCTTGTAAACATTGGAAACAATGTAGGGCTCGACTTGTTCAAGCTACACAATTGAACATGTCTCTTGGAGTCCCAAAATACATTGGAAAATTCTTATGAAACATGTAAATGTAGAAGATACCCGGTCATGAACGCTGAGGCACACATCAGTTTCAGGTTCCGTATGTACAACCATTAACCATGCACTATCGTGCGCACACCGGACATGTTTTGCGACTATTGTTGATTTTTGGCCATAATGACCGAGAGCGGAGGCATGTAAAATCTAACTTGTTGTTGCATAAAGGTAAGAAATTAACTGAGAACCAAATAAAGTTCAATGAATCACTGAATGAGCTCCTGAGAGCTACCAATGGTCCTGATAGTACTTCACAATGCCTGTGTGTGGCCTCACCCAAGGCAGTGAGCTCATATCTGATCACCAGACTTCGCTATGGACATGGTATACTAAAAAGACTTCGGAGTAGTTAAATTACGTGTTTCCCTTATCCGAGGAAGACTGTATCTGTCCCCTGAGTATCTTAAACCCTTCAGTAGTTGAACAGCTTACTATACACAGAGAATAAATTATCAAAGTTTAATAATAATTTCATAAGCTCTGGATAAAACTGGTAAGTCATGCCATACTGAAAATCTACGCAAGTTTCTTCACTAATGACATCTTTAACCCAAGATTAAACTGGCTGATAGGCTAGCCCTGACTACTAATGTGTTCAGCTACAAACGCAGGCCCAAGCCATTATCACACACCGTATCTCTTGAGTTGATATGAGCACACCTACCTCTGGTATTCGACAGGTTTAAGATGTTGGAAACGGATGTATCTATCATTGGGGGTGAGATGTATGCTAGGTAGACCTACCCCATGAGCTCGAAAACTAAGACAATCTGACCAGATTATGGCATAACCCAAGAGAAGAAATGCTTGAAAAGAAAATGGTTTACACCTACAAGAGGATAGGTAATAAACAATGTGGGTCCACATTTGACCAGGTACGGCATTATGGACCTGTAGGTACCTGCAGCTAGAGAAGCATATAGCTAAAAAACCATCTGAGTTAGTTAGGTATAACGGACCACATCCTATTGACCATAGGTTTAAATCAGCATACGTCTCATGTTCTGTCTCAACAGCTCTTCTGAGTTGGAACACCGTAAGGAGATCCAAGCCTTGGGACGTCACAAAGGGCCGGGCTCCGGTAGCCTTCCTCTGTTCTATTTAACGATGGTACAATAAAGCGTATTAGATAATTGGTAGTTCTGTTCTCCAAAGTCTGGCACATTGAGCAGGCCCTCTTCTCTTGGGGAAATTCATTTTTGTCTCCAGTAACTGGGTATAAGCCTGATCCCCATAGTGTCAAAGTTGTCTGTCATTATCCGAGTATTGTACACTCTGTGTGCGGAGCAGGCTGATTGTGGATGCATTGATCAAATCTTCACCCTCCGACAGCTGCTTGAGCACCGTCATGCCTATCAAAGACCAACAATCATTGTTTTCTCAGACATTCGCGCGGCCTTCGACTCTGTCGACAGAACTGCACTATGGAGCTGTTTGTTGCGGAATGGAGTACTGAAGAAGTGTGTCGATCCCCAAAGTTGTATCGTCATGCCTCAGGTCGGGTTAGAGTCTATGGCCAGATTTTGCCACCCTTCGCCGAACCAGTTCCGAAAGGCTGCCCTATATCCTCATTCCTTTTCAACTTTGTCATAGAGGATGTTCTACAGAATGATTTGTCCGGTCTAACAAACGGTGGAATCGAACACCTCCCAGGGAACAGTCCTTGAATTAGACTAAGCCGATGACACCACCTTGTTGGGTAACAAATACAGAGTCTAACACGCTTTCAACCACTTGGCGATAGAGGTATCCAGGTATGGTATGTGACTTACACCATCGAAGTGCAGTGTTTTTTCAAGACTGGCAGGAGCCTTTACCCGCACTCACCCTCTGTGGTGATCACCTGGAAGTGATTAAGAGCTTGAAGTACCTCGGGAGCTTGATTCCAGCTGTAGATAGTGTTGGGGAGGATGGTAAAAGCCAGAGCAGCTTTTGTCAGCCTGTGGCACCGCCATGACACCCGACCGTCCCTAAAAGGAAGGGTGTACATCGTCGCGGTTCATGGTGTTGTATTTTATGGTTGCGAGATCTGACCTCTCTGAGCGGAAGATGCTAAATGATTTTCTGTATTCAACTACCGACGTCTCCAGAGAATTGACCATGACATGGCGAGCGGTATAAATAAGCAAGTTTCAGCTTTTGCTTCGTTTGGTGCAGCCTGCCATCCAAGTTGGGGTCCAGGAGATGAGGATTGTCGCTGGTTGGAGGCGCTAAGAGATATGGCTCGGAATAGAAGTCAGTGGCGCAAAATCTGTACGGTCTGTCTGTTGAAATCGCGTCCCCCCTAAAAATACGATAAACAAACACAAATATCGAAATCGTACGGTGAAATAAAAAAACTTGTTGTTATTCCTGTTATCCACTGTTTTCCATTGTAACTGTTTAACTTAATTTACACTTCTTTGTGTATCCCAATCCACCATCCCTTGTTTCTTTTACTATTATTTTGACGTTGGCCCATGCTTGTCCGCAAGCCTGTGATATATATAGGCTTAATACAACAAGAACCGAGTTCACCGCTCCAATAGATGTTACTGGCCCACGAAGTGCCCACAGATTTCAGAACTTGAACGAACACGTTTTAGTCAGTCTTATCTACACATGAGCAAGGAAGCTTTGCCTGACTGCATCCACAAAGACCGGATACTTCTCCACATGAATAACCGTTCAGAACCAGACATCACAGGCAGTTCAAGAAAATACTCTGGATCTATCATGGTTTTGAGCACTGAGTACAGAAGATTGTTTCGTTAGTCTATCACCTCACACAGACATCTCCGAATGGCGTGAATTTCTACTTGGTATTGACTTGAGTGGTGGATAGAAAACCTCTAGACTTACACCAAAACAAGGGAGTTTAATGTGCGATTGTTTTTGTTTGATATAGGTGGCTATGTAACTGAAAGGCATCCTTCGGTGCCAATTACTATTTATAATTGTAAGATCCCGTAGAGCTTCCGTCGGGGCTTGACTCTTCCTCAGTAGAGTGAACTGTTTAGAACTGAGTAGGGTCATTGCATCTGAGACTTATTCTAGTCTCTCCACCGTTAGCTGCGATCTGACAACCGGACGAGCAATGCTGGGGTTAGGCGTAGAGTTTTAGGTAACCGAGGTCGTCCACTGGAGCAAGTGGTCGAAGTCCATAGATTATGTTGATTGAGGTGTGTGTGCCACGGCGAGCAATGTTTGCCGAGGCAGGTAAGGGGTGGAATAAACCCATGGGCGGTCAAACAAAGACCTGGCGAGAGAGTAAGAAAATCGTACCCAGGAGACTCGGTCATATAAGTCCGGTTAGGCTCCATGGGAGGATTGTAACCGGTGGTTAGAGACACTGAGTGACATGGCTTACTGTCGCAAACAGTGTCGCTCGTGCACCTACACATTTTTCTTGCAACCCCAGTCTATATGGATTTTCTATATTCTCTGTGATGTTGCTCTCAATATTCCATTCTTCCCTCTGCTCTTTTGTCCAAATGGGTATCCGAAAGACAGAAATCAAAACTGGCTCATGAAATTACACGGATAATGGGTGTAAAACTGAAACTAAGCATCGTGCTAGCTAGAGGGTTTCGCCGTATCTGCGTTCCAGCAAGAGAATGTCTAATCTTATTTTAAAGGTCGGCAAACCGATGATGTGACGGACGATGATGAAGCGAACGACCAGATTTGCAGCGAAATATGAGCGGGCTAGAGACGCCATCAACCGTCTTCGCACGTGTTGACCAACACCATCACCTGTGAACGGCTGTTGAATGGGAAAGTCACATTCTGGTGCTGTCATCCCCGAGGTCTTGGGTTGAGCTTTTACGGCGTACCTTTGCATAAACCCCACTGGGTAATCAGTAAGCTTTAGAGCTTCCGTGAGCCGATTTAGCTCAATTTTCTACTTATCCGGAGTACACAGCCTTCTAGCTCGATTAAACAGGGAACACACGAAATCCCATTTATACATGATTGGAGCAAAACTCCCAAAGTGCATATACCAGTCGGTCCATGTGAATTTTTGATGCACTGACCTCGAAACATTTTTGCCTGGCCTTCAACCGATAACAATATCTAGAAATGGGAGTGTGTTTTACCCAGTTTCCATGAACTGAATGTTCCTGTGAAGCAAATTCAGTTCATCTAGCAACTCCTCGGTCTCCCTGGCGTTTCGGGTGATTATCAAAGTGTCTCCATTTTAGCAAATTCGCCTTCGGTTCAATGGGACCCATATAAGACATACACACTGCGTCTTTAGAGAAACATGACTCTATCCTGGTTGTGCGATCAAAAAAAGAGAACGAATCATTCCTTTGCTGAGTTTCATTATGGGTTTACTAAACGTTACACCCTAGTCTTGTCTTCCTGCATATATGAGTGTATGGAAGTTCGATAATGAAAGCTATCCGTAAGCCCCAACCCGATTTGGGGTGTGGCCATACAACTCTCTGTGGATCGACACACTTCTCAGGTTCTCCATTTCTCAACAAAACGTTCTATAGTGCAGTCCCATCTACGGGATTGAATGCTGTTTTTTAGATCATGGCTTTCCGAATTACCTTTGAAGCCTCAGTATGGTCGGGGGTGGGTGTCTACCGTTGTGGCTGGTCACCCTACCCTTGCACCTCGTCAAATGCTCTCATATGACGAAGCATCTCTTGCAGACGTTGTTGAGGACGTCCTACTCACTGCCTTCTCGTGGTAGAGGTGTTTCCCACCAAAGTGAGGAAGAAAAACCAACATCCGGGTTGGTGGACAACTCGGAGTTCACCCAGGGGAGTTGGCTAAAACCCTGATTGCAAACCAACCAAGAGGAGGCGTACGAACCAGACCCACACTTTCTCGGTTGTGGCAGTGGTCACCGGCTCGATTGGGCATTGAGGTGTATTGGGCACCTTGGACGTCTGACCCCGTCCAAAGGGCATATGATCCGATGAAATAGACACCGACTCCCAATGGATTGCGGTTTTGGGCACACCACCCAGTTGCGTTTTGGTGGTCAGGCTTTGGTTAGCCAAAGGCTCTGGTTGTGGATTCCCCAAGAAAATTCACCTGGCTTGGCCTGGGCAACCTGGCAGTACTCCGCCCACATGGTACCATGGAACGTTCTTATTATTATAAAGATTATTGTACCATGATTTGTTTTGGCACATAGTCTGGACTCAGACGCGTGTGAAAATATAAATATATACATCCTGGTGGTGAAGCAATGTGAACTGTATTGTTACCATCGTACAGTAAAACACAGAAAAGCAAACGGTGCAAATCACTGTCAATTTCAGAGCAGAAACAAAGTGTATCAAACCACTGAAATTGCTAGCTTCGTTCGTTTTCAAGACCTAAAAGTAGTCTCCTTGTTTTTACTTCCATTTACTGAATATAAAATGACAATTTTCAGGGAGGAAGCGGCCAATCAAAGGGCGGTCATACAACACGTAACGGGGAAGGTTGTACAATGGTGGTAGGATTCGAGCACGTACCCTACGGTGTGATTATTTGGTGACGTGACCACCGCCCATCATAACTACGAGGTCGAACAGGGGAAGATTATCGAATTTACGAGGAATGGCATGAATCAGTTATTCCATCAATTTATAAGGAGCCAGACTTTCATATGAAAATTATAGAGAAACCATATTATAAAGCATCGCCCTCAATAAATTTGTTGAACCTACATTGGTCGACTTTCTGTCGTAGATGGTAGGATATTCCCAACTCTGGACATGGTCGAGGCTGCCCCCTAACTATGTTTTCAACTTCTATTTTAATTCCCGAGAGGTAGCATTCCTTCCGCAAACCCATCACTTTTCTCTGCTGACTTGAGAGCAACAGTTAACATAGTCGACTGTGCCGCACTTTGGTGCTGCACCTCGTTCACTGTTGTCAGAGAAGTTCCCTTTTGTACGTTCATCAGAACCGGACAATGTGTAGTGGGTACAGATAGCCGTTTCCTGACACACTTTAGTAAAAGCAACAATGCACAGGACTTCCTCAGGAAAGTCTAAAAACGACAAGCAGTTGCGGAACATCCCGACAGAAGAGGGTAGAACGGATTCGCAGAAACACAGTCAAACTGGAAAGTTCGGCCATGTGCATGTATTTTTTCTTCAAACGATTTGATTCCCCGATGATGAAATCACTTTTTAAAATTAAACTAAAGCCTAATGTACACATTGGATAAAAATGACTTCTAGACATATTCAAACCAAAAGCCGGTAATTTAAACGATACCATTAACCATATAATTGATTTAATGACAACACACAGTTCAAGCCCGTGATCTTGAAGTATTAGGTACTAACTAACGGTAGGCTGATTCAGGTTTCTTTGTCGAACTTACCGTATACGCACTGTTTAGTCAAGTCAAGCCAAGCCAAAGTGAGCTTCACGCACCCGAAGGATGGAAGTTAAGTGACACTACCGCGTTGTGTTTGTTGGTTATTCCAACAGAAGCTGACCCCCGGGAGGCATACAGAAGCTATAACGAATTCCATCAGTAGATCATAACCTCATGTCCACAGAATGGAGCGGAATGAGTGTGGATTTCATGCGGTTTATTTACAGGTAAAATATCAACACCATACACAAATGTTTACACAACGGACATCATAAGGAAAGAAACTCGGCACCAGCACAGTATTCAACAGAGATATGATTAAATCCTGTACATGATGAATGGTCCGCACTCCAAACAATGGGGATCACACGAGTGCTCGAACCAATAAAAAAGTCATTTCTTCAGTGTAAAAGAAAGTTTTGGTCGGACACGTTTTTTATTCAATATGATTTCTTGCTCTCGCTTGATGCGTTTAAGTTCCTCAGCTTCTTGGCGTTGTCTTTCTTCCAATTCACGTAGCTCGGCACCGTATCGTTTTTGACGCTCTTCTTCCTGCAGGGTAAAAACGAACAATTGTTACGCTATGGTTGGATAGCAAAAGTAAACTGGTTTGAATGAAGAAATTCTAACGAAGGACTGATAACAGAGAAGCTAGTAAAGTAACATGTAAGGGACAAAGCTGGGGTCAGAGTAAACATATGACTGGAGCTATATAAAAAATACTAATCTCATTGATAGAGATCAACAATATTCTAACTTATCAGAACAGTTCCTAGAAAAATAACAAAACCAATCTCGGTTTACACCTTCGACCACTCTCAGCACTCAAAACCAATCTTCCGAGGACATGAATAAATAAAACATAAGAAATAAGATTTTTTATGCCTGTACCGTACGTGGTGTAAAAGATGGGGCAATATTCAGCAACTGACTACCGTCAGTAGTCAGTTCAGATGAAGTCCTCGTTGATACGGGCATGTAGGCTTTATGCATAGACCTTGTTTCTCGCGTGCGGATTTTGTCGTGAAAAGGGTAAGACAATGCTACTCAAGCAATAACATTGAAGAACCCGTTCAAATGTTATCGATTCTTAAAATGTATTTGTGTTGCATACAACTGTTACAAACAGCAGACGAGCGAACCCCGTAATCGCGAAGACCTGTTATGCAGTGATGGAAAGCGGCAACCTAAGTCCCCGAGAATTGGAGTGTTGAACCCCTCTAGCTTAGGGCATAATATTGAACCGGACGACAGCAAAGCTGCCTACCACCAAATAGAGGACCGTTGTGGGGTTTGAACCTCAAACCACAGAGTCCAGATCATCGCTGTCCGAAAGAGTTTGCCTGAAGCGCCACTAGAACAGCCGCAATGTTCAAATTCCCCGGAACCGTCAAATCGTAATCTGGATTAATCGGTTGCGTTTCCCAACATTGGATGTTCCGAATAAATTTTCCACTTTTTCATTTATCAAACGAAACAATACACGACCCCTGTGATAGATGGATAACTTAGTTAAAAATACTCCCAACACCATTATCAGACATACGAGGTGTTCCAATAAAGGTTATTAATAGTGTTGACCATTTTCTTTTAAAAAGATGGATTTGTATAAGGTGTTTCGTTACATTGCTAAAAGATGTATATTACGTCATATTCGTACTATAAGGGAGTGCATATTCCGGTTGAAAGCAATTGGAGCTTGACCTGTTATTGCAGCTTCAGGTTCTATGCCTGATCTTTTCTCAGTCGGTAAACATCTGGCTCTGTTGCCACTTGGGGCAGATTAGACCACAAAGTAAAAATAAAGTTCTGTCAGTTGTTGGGCAAACAAATATGGACAGTAGAACTTCATCAACATCTGACAACTGGCATCTATTTCAATCCTTTTTCCTCCTTTTTATTTCCTTGCATTGAATATACAATGATACATTTCGCGGAAGGGAGAAGCGGCTAATCAAAGGGTTGCCATACAAAACATAACGGTGAAATGAAAGATACGCTCTATTCAGAGTAAATGAGATACACCTAAGATATGCGAAATCTCTTAATGCTTGTCAATCGCGGTCTACTCCAAGTGTGGGTAGACAGATGTGTGACAAATTACGGTCAATAGATAATGATGAACTGCCGTTTTTTATATTCCTGAGTATAGCATAATATCATATATTAATACATAACGGTGTGAATGTGCAATACCCTTCAACTCTACTTGTGCCAAGCTGTAGTCATGTTCCGTTGTGGAGAACGGCAAAAATGGCCATTCAATGATTGTTGTTGAATGGTACTGGACTTTGGGACATCAAATACCTGGTGCGGCGTATAGCAAACAGCCAATCACAGGGCCATCTGAAAGACCTTGGCAAATCATCACAATTTTCCGAAAAACGAACGAACGGACCGCGGAAACGATGTCTCAGCTAGGACCCGCAATTCCGCAACACGTTCTTTTGACATTTTTGGTACTAAGTTTCCTATGTTCAATGTTGTGCCAAAAAAGTCATGCAGTTCCTAATTCAAAATACCTCCCAATTTCGATGTATGAAAAATGAACTTTGTGAAACTTGCAACAACGAAATGAGACTGTCCGTTTGTTTTCAGCGGGTACTATATATTCACCGAGGAGAATGCAAAAAATTTTGTTAACACAGTCTCGGCTGAAGAAAAAACGTGGAAAGAAACATACGAAGAACATACTTCAATTCGTCGTTTCTCCTCTAGTTCGCGTTCCCTTTCACGTATTAGCCGCTCATTTAGTTCCTTTTTTCTTCTTTCTTCTTCCTGGAGAGCAATTCAAAACAATGATAACAAAGAAACCGCAAACTAATCAATATTGGTATGTAAGAGACTGCTGGCCCTCAGGGAGATCATAGTACATGTTTTTATTTATTACAGTAACATAAACAGTGGTGGCATATTTGTAACTGAGCAGAAATTGTCCACTAGGTGCGTCCACAGACGTCCCCTCCGAGATAAAGGTGAGTTTTGGTCCACTCTCAGCAAAACAAGAGTTCTATGGTGAAGTTGAAATTGAGACTGCAGGAGAGGGCAATATATCACAATGTGTTCTTAAACTGTTTATTTTTTAACATGCATAGATGCACTGAATACACTATTTATGAGGGCGTGGGGTGTTCACCTTACGCCCAAATGTAAAGGAGCGTGACGAATCGAACCGTTCAACTATTGCAGCAGAAAGTTTCCCATAAACGACTATTTGACCGCTTCTAACATGGCAACGGGTTTCGCCGCAGCAGAGGCTAAGTAGGCGACATCTTCCAACCGAGTCGCTTATAGGACAGTGAAATTTTAAAAGCCTATCGCAGCCTGCTACATTGAGTACTGCGCTGTCATGAGTACAGTTAATCATGGCGCAATCAGCGATTCTTAAAAACCAGAAGTTTGAGGTTTCTTAAGTATTGCACATCTACCCATGTGCGTATTTGGATTCGGGGTGAAGAATAAACCGAATTCTCATTGTTAATTCCGGAGTACATGGGCGTTCTCTTTCCTGCTCTTTTGATACGCGATTGTCAGTAAAATGAGGCAGGTGCTCGTTAAGTACCGCCATCTGCAAGATTAGGAAAGTCCGCTTTGTATTTAGACTTCAAAGACACTATTGCACTAGGAAGTACATAAACGGACACCTACAGTCAATTCATGACCGCATTCAGCTCTTCCCTAACTGCACTAAAATAGACATAAGCGGGGCAAAACGAAGCAGTTTTCGCACTATCCGCATCCGCTATCGTCTCAGATGCCTTTTCACGACAACCTGATCTACCAAGTCGCGTCTTCAGA